CGATAGAACCTGAATTTGACCTATGTCTGAACTGTTTTGAGTAGTTTTTTAGTTTGTTAATGTTCCATTTCTTCTCCAAGCCTTTCAGCAGCTTGCTGCTTCCTGAAACAGTGTCTCCTAATTTACACTCCTTTGGTATTGACCCAGATCTCCTTCCCCTTGGTGCCTCCCACCAACTACTGTACACTTCCTCTTGCCATGTATGACCCTGACTGGCATACAGGTTCTTATGCCAGGTTCTTATGTCCCTGCTGTTTTCACTGTACAAGAATATCAGATATAAGATACTCTTGCTTTTCAAATTCTCACAAGGAGCTGGAATTGTCAAAATTCTTAGTTGTGTCTTCAAACATTTGAAAACTGTAAGTTCTATCCACGTTCATATTCCTCCCCCTGACCCTTTTTAAAATCAAAGGATGGCCGGGCGCGGTGGCTCACGCCTGTAATCCCAGCACTTTGGGAGGCCAAGATGGGCGGATGATGAGGTCAGGAGATCGAGACCGTCCTGGCTAACATGGTGAAACCCCGTCTCTACCAGAAATACAAAAAATTACCCGGGCATAGGGGTGGGCGCCTGTAGTCCCAGCTACTTAGGAGGCTGAGGCAGGAGAATCGCTTAAACCTGGGAGGCGGGGCTTCCAGTGAGCCGAGATCACACCACTGCACTCCAGCCTGGGTGACAGAGCGAGACTCCATCTCACAAAAAAAAAAAAAATCAAAGAATATTTGCAGGGGTGGGTAATTATCCCCAATCTCATTATCTTATAAAATGACGCTTTTAAATTTTGCATTTTACCTCCCTATCCTGGTTGACACAGGTTTACATATTGGCTAGCTCCTTGTCCAGCCCTTTCTAGTTTAGGCAGGGAGAGAGGTGATTCATGCTAGTCAGGGTCATACCCGGCAAGAGGAGGTGCATGGTAGTTGGTAGTTGGTGGGAGGCACTGAAGGGATCTGGGTCAATGCCAAAGGAGTGTAAATTAAGAGACACTGTTTCAGGAAGCAGCAAGCTGCTGAAAGGTTGGAAAAGAAATGGAACATTAACAAACTAAAAAACAGTTCAAAAGTTGAATCAAAATGAAAAATTCATTAGGAGAGGCAAGAGAATGAAACAAGATGGCCAAGAGCCAAACGAAATAAACATAGGTTGAAGAGCAGTTCAGGAAGAACATCTTTGATTGTGATTATATTGTTCTTTATGCATATCTTAGCATGTATCATCAAGGCCCTGTTAAAATGTCACTAGGGCTGGAATTTTTGAATTTATCTTTCTATAATAAGATATGATTAACATCTAGGTATTTAACTGCTTGGTGAGTCTTGTTTGGTTCTTCTGAATTCCTTTTTTTCCTGAATGTTTTGTGCAGAAGAGAGACACAAAGATAATCAGTGGTTAATTTATCAAACGTTAAGACATCCTAACAACTCTGTGATATAACGTTATTGTTATTCCCATTGTACAGATGAGAAAATGGTGGCACAGAAATGTTAAGTACTTTTCCTATGGTTACAAAACAAATAAGTGGCTAGCAAGGATTTGAAATGATTACTATGCAATATGTTAAGAGATACAATGATACAGTATAAACAAATGAGGATCCAACGAATTCTGCTTGGATGAAGATCAGGGAGAGATGTACTAATGAAATTACACATTTCCTTTTGGGTTATCACACAATTTGGTGCCCATATAAATGTTAATATTACCTTTGATTGTGCTCTCATGTAAATAATACTGGTGAAACTGCTCTCATGACCCAGATACTGAAAGTAATACATGAACAAGGATTTTTTCCTGATTTTTTTTTTAACCAAATAATCCTAAATCTTGTTCCATTTGTTTGTTTTTTGAGACAGGGTTTCACTCTGTTGCTCAAGCTTTATCACGATTGAGCAGGGGCATGATCATGGCTTACTGTAGCCTCAACCTCCCCAGGCTTAGGCGATTCTCCCCACTCAGCCTCCTGAGTAACTGGGACCACAGGCATGGGCTACCAGTGTCTGGATGATTCTTGTACTTTTGGTAGAGACAGGTTTTTGCTATGTTGGCCAGACTAGTCTTAACCTTTTGGGCTCAAGTGATCCTCCTGTCTTGGCTTCCCAAAGTATTGGAATTACAGGCTTGAGCCACCTGTCCTGGCTGACCCTAAGTCTTAAAGACATCCCCACTCCACAGGACTGGGGTGCTCCATTCAAGTTCAGGTTTGTTTCAGAAATTCTAAATATCAAGTACCATTTGTATAAACGAGTTTTAGTAAACAGATATGAAAGCAGTTATTCAACCTCATTCAGTTATTTGTCCTTTTGTCATTCCACAAGATCCATTTTATGGAAGCCTTGTCAATATTTTAACTGAGGTTTTTTTGTAAGAACTAGTAGTGTGAATAACATACTAAGAGTCCAATAATTATATTTAGACTTCAAGGAGTTTGGATGGGAGAAGAGGGTATTTTCTGGACAAAATGTTTTCCTGTGAAGAGTTCTCCCTATACATATAATCCTAAGGATAAGAGTAAACTGGGCTAGAAGGATGAGTTAAATTTCCTTTTAAATGGCATGGTTCTTTAATAAAACTCCCTTAAGAAAAGTTCGACAGAACAAGGAAATAGGATTCATTTTCTTCCCAAAAGATTTATCAGCTAGTGGGAAAGGTCTAGTTTTTCCAAATTTTCCATTTTTTATGTTGTATGACCATAGGAATAAAAAGTGACAAAAATTTATTATCCAAATGAAATTAGGGAAAAACCATGGTGAATTCCAGTCCTCAGGAAACATAGGGTTCTAGCTAATGGAGGGTTTATTGGAAAGTGTTTTTATCATTCTGAATACTAATGACACCTTATAACAATACACTGCCTGTAGATATAAAAACTGAAGACATTGAAGGGATTAGTTATCAATACATCAGATCATTTCTGGACAGAATTTTATTAAAACAAAACAGAACAAAATATAAAGTTATTTTCCTTATTAGTTATATTTTTCTAATTATGTAAGGGAGAAACCTTTTATCAATTGGGTATTTTTATTGTGTTTTTGTTTTTACAGCTTTATTTTAATGATATTATGATTTGAGTTGGTAAGGACATTCCACAGCAAGCTACTTTCATTTCTCTGAAACCCAGTTTCTCCTCAGAAAAATGGAGAAATTAGTCATCTCTACCTCATAGAAATGTTGTGAAGATCAAGCTAAGGCACATGAGGCACTTAGCAAGTGCTGGGAACATGGCAAAGGCTAAATGGATGTGAACTATTATACTATGATCCTTCTTGAAACAGGTTATGATGGCTGTTTTGAACTGCATGTTTGTGTCCTTCCCCTCACCCCAAATTCATATGTTGAAACTATAACTTCCAGTGGGATGGTGGAGCATTTCAGAGGCAGTTAGGTCATGAGGGTGGAGCCTTCATGATGGGATTAGTGCCCTTTTAAGAAGAGGCAGGAGTGAGCTCACCTTCTTTCTTCTCCTCACCAAGTCAGGACACGGCAAGAAGATGGCCATCTGTGAACCAGAAGGAGAGCCCTCAGCAGAACCCAACCATGCTGGCACCCGGATCCTGGACTTCTCAGCCTCCAGACTGTAAGAAATAAGTCTCTGTTTTTTATGCCACCCCTGTTTATGGGATTGTGTTATAGCAGCCCAAGTGGACTAAGATGATGGCACTTATGTCAAGTCTGTGTGCAGCATACCCATATTGACAATATGGTAAAAAATAAAATGTTATGGATTGTATTTTCCAAAGATGGCTGCAACAATATCTTGCAGTATCCCATGTGTGCTCTCCTTACAGGGTAATGTTGCCATGCCTCCCATCAAAGGGGACTCAAAGTTCACTCTCCTTGAAGACGGAGGGCCTCTGTGACTTCCTTGACCAAGAGAGTTGGTTGAAAGTGATGCTATGTGATTTATGAGGTCATAAAAATGCATGTTTCTATCATGTTTTCTTGGCACATTTGTTTTCAAAAAAGTCAGCTGCCATATGAACAGCCCATTTTCCCTGAGGTGCCATACTGTAAGGAAGCCCGAGCTAGCCCATGCAGAGAGACCACATGCAGAAACTCTGAAACCAAATGGACAGAGTGGGGGTGGTGGTACCTGGTTATCACCCAGGCGCCCAGTCCTCATTATACCAGCTCCAGCCATTGTTTGGCTACAACCGCAGGAGAGATCTCAAGCCAGAACCACCAAGCCCAGCACTTCCTGAATTCCTGACCCAGAGATTCCAGACTGTAAAAAATACTTTAGCCTAATTATTTGTTTTGCAGTAATAGTCATGAAACATTCTGCTTTTATCACTTGAGCCTTCCTAATGACAGAAAGAGGTTCTCTGTGAAGTGTGAGATAACAGAGTAAATAACATGGTACTGAGAAAATCTTGTTTGCTCACAGAAAATCACTGAAATGTGAAATATCTTTAGTTCTGGAAGGATTTAGTGTTCTCAAAAGCACAGGCCTTCTGCAGAACACCCATTTCACCCACGTATCAGTCTACTCATGTCTACTGTTCCTCAGCAAAGTTTTCTCCTCAGAAGGGGATGATTGTTTATTATAGTTCTATTTTATAAAGAAGTTTAAAGCTTATGTGCTAATTATTACTGAACACTTTTAAATATTCAAAAATTAATAACGGTTACTCTAAATGAGAATTTAAAATGCAAGTTAGGCATGTTATCATGCTGCCCAACAACTCCCTCAGGTTTTCCACACATTATACCACTCCCATTAGATGTGGATGAGTGCCATTCATCTTCGTCCCCATAGCTTCACTCCCTGGTAGGGTATGGGAATGTTCAGAATTCTGCCACACGTATAAGCAACTATTAGCAAACAGATATAAAAGCACTTATTCAATCTCGTTCAGTCCTTTGTCCTTTTGTCATTCCACAAGATCCACTTTAAGGCAGCCTTGTCAATATTTCAGTGTAGGATGAGCCAATCATCTACTAGTATCAGGTAAACAGTCTTGTATTAAATGTAAGTGTGTGTATGTGTGTGCACTTAGGACAGAAGGGGATGGGGTGGGATGGGGAGACGCAGGCCTGATGAACAGAACTTCAGAGCCACAGCCGTGTCCTGTAAATGTTAGACTGTTGAGCCTGCCAGATTTTTACACCTCTTTTCTGCAAGGAAAAGAGTGTTTATACAGACTTTGTGGCCAATTATATTTATTAAATACTACTAATCACAGCAATGTAAGATTATTTCTAATGTCCCTAATGCTATTTTTAAACGTTTTGGTGAGGATTTAGACAGGGAAATTTGAAGCACTTGCTAAAAGCAGCTCTGAAATGTGTACTCCTGATTATGGTTTTCCAAACACTAAATGCGCCTGTGTGTGAATTACTGCTCAGAATATTACAAATATTAGCTAACTGCACCCAGGGTGGTGATTAAAGTTCACACACACACACACACACACACACACACTCAACTCATTCTGCTTTGGTGAAATATTGCAAACTGTTTTTCTGACAATTTGGCAGCATCACATGCACAAGATGAAATCAAATCTTTTTGACCTTTAAGTCGCTACATAATCTGTCCCCATGCTATGCTTTCATCTCATGTACACTCTTCCCCTAACACACCTCACTCCAATCCTATGTATGTCTTTCTTATTTCTCCAACATGCTTGGACTCCATGTGCCACATCACCTGTGCTTCTGCGGTCCGTTCTGCCTGGAATATTCCCTCGGATGGTCACGTGACTGGTCCCTTCCCCTCACTCAAGTGTCTTCACAGACGCTGCTTCCTCAAGAAGGCTTTCCCCATTATCTTCGTACTTCTCAGTCTTTATTATTTTGTCTCTGTTTCTTCATAGAATGTATCCTTACTTGGCATTTTGTAAGACAGTAATTAATTACTTAGTTAATTTTTTTGCCTGTCTCTACCACTAGGATGTGAGGCCTATGTCGGTAGAAAATTTTCTCCTTGGTTCACTGCTTTATCACTAGTGCCTGGAACATGACAGGTCCTTAAAAACTTTTTTAAATGGATGGATTGAATAGCATTCATCCAAACTCTATCTTTACTTATATTCTGTTGTGTTATAGCTTTCTTTTTAAAATTGTATATATTTTAAATGTACAGTATGGTGTTTTGATTTATGTATGTTGTAGCTTTCTTAATTCATTGGATTCTGATAGGTGACTTTTGAGTGATTCTTTGAAATGCAACCCAGAGTGCAGGGTCGGCTGGTTCATTCCGGGCAGTAACACAAAGGCTGGCTCTTGGTAGCTAGTGCTGAGACCAGGGCTGGTACCTATGGCATTTGTTTATCCATTTTGTTCATTTGTTTATAAAACAGAATTCTGAAACGTGATGTGTCAGGAACTGTGGTAGCTCAATAGCAAGGTATAAGCAATCTCTGCCCTCATCAAGAATAAAGTCTATCAGGGAAGAAAGACAGTTAAACAAGCAATTAAAATCAATCATGGTAGTGCTATTGTGAGATAAATACAGGATGCTACGGAACAGGGGTAACAGGAAGAGGTGGCATCTGCCAGTTGATGGGAGCTGATTGTTAAATTTCCAGGAATTTTGCAAGCTCATTTTAAACACAGACATTATTAAAGATTGTTATGTAAACTTATAATTAGATAAATTATATTAAAAATAAATTAGATAAATTAGACTAAAAAGCAAAGGTAATAAATGCCACATCATTTCCTGATAATCTTGCTCCTGAGGTTCTTTATGACTGTCGTTTCTGTGTGGTGGAATTGTTCTCAATGCTGGCTAGTGCATGCATTTCCCTAACTCTTCATTCAATGACATCATGTTGGTAGCTCGAGATAAACCATGGTGTGAATATTTACACTGTGGAAATTGCTACAGATCAGGTTTTTTCCTTCAAAGAGCCAGTTATAGACATTTACCAGCATGCCATTGCTCTCAGAGCACACAGCACGATGCCTAACCTCACCTGGGGACATCAGACAAAGATCCTGAAAGGGGAAGCAGGAGTTAACCAGGTGAAAGCTGTATGGATGATAGAGAGTAGCCCCTTCAACATCAAGGCCAAACAGGTGAGCTAGCTCTTATCTGCATTCAGCACACCATCATTCTGCCTCTGTATGCCTTTTTTTCTTCAGGTTACCCTTCCAAAAATACATACTCCATGTATATATATGGATGTATAATTTATTGATATGTATAGCTAACACTGTTAAGCTTCATTAAATTTCTTTTCTGTTCATTTAGGACAATATTTAATTAAAGCCATGATAGAAGTGCCCTAACAGGCCATATTTCACCTTGTTTACTCAGTTTAATTATTTTTAATTTTTTTCATTTAAAATAATCAAGGTTTTATTAATTATAAATTGGGAATATTGTGTTTATAACTTGTGAGATAAGAAGAAAAAGAATATATGTACCCAAATTTGACATTTATTTTTATCTTTTTTTAAATTTTAAAAGTTTTTATTATACTTTAAGTTCTGGGATACATGTACAGAATGTGCAGGTTTGTTACCTATAAGAGTTGTGTATTTCAAAAACTGAAATCTCATAAAAAGTTAAATTTTTGTCTGACAAAAAAAATTCTTTTCTGTAAGAATGTTGAATATTGGCCCCCACTCTCTTCTGGCTTGTAGGGTTTCTGCAGAGAGATCTGCTGTTAGTCTGATGGGCTTCTCTTTGTGGGTAACCCGACCTTTCTCTCTGGAAAATCATCAGATCACCAAGCGCTGAAATGAAGGAAAAAATGTTCAGGGCAGCGCAGAGCGAGA